AAAAAAAAAAAAATTCTGAGGCCTGGTGCCGCCACTGGCTTCATGCGTTTGTTTATATTACAATATTTCTGTAACTCTAGTTTAAATGTAAAGAAAACCTCGTTGGAGTAAAACGTGGGGTAAAGCCATAATTTCTCTGAATATTTTTTACATAATATGGCTTTGTGTCAGAAATAGGCCATTTCCGAAGTACGGTCGAATGTTCAGTTCTTGACAAATAGAGCGTAGTTCGGTAACGGTCTATTGCATTTCAGGTTTCAGGAAAATTCAGGGGCCCCAGACGACCATTCCCCCCAAGGTCCATTTTATCTCAAATATAATCAAAACCTTGGAAGAAGAGGGTCCTGAAGGGGTAAAATGGGAACTGGGATTGATCTATTTTTAGACTGGGAAAATGGGATTTGGGTTGGTGGGACTGGGATTTGGCCACTGGGAATGGGAAATGAAGTCCTCAAAAATGGGAATGGGATTGAGGTAATGCGAGTCGATTCCCAATTTTTCTACGTTTTAAGTATTTTAAAATACAATTTTGATCCGTTTTTGGTGTCTTTGGTCATGATTTTTGTTGTTAACTATATTATTCACAGCACTACCTGCGAACAGGCATACTCTGGCGCCCGGAATTCTGGGTTTTCTGATTATGCGTGTCTCAGAATGCTGCAAATGCCATTTCCGGGATTCAAATTTAAAAATTTTCCCTGCCTTCGGCACAACCCTCCCCCAAATTTCATAAAGTGTGTACCACTTGCACACACAATGGCTTAAAAGTCTTAAAACTGTTTATTGTACTGATAAATAAAGGGTTTTTTATTGACTGGGATTTCAATAACTCGGACTGGGATTTCTAATAAAAATCCAACTGGGACTGGGATTTTGCCAAAATTTCAGGTGGGAAATGGGATTGGGACCCCCCTTCAGGACCCTCGAAGAAAAATGGAATTTAGAAGGGAGGTTTGATGTTCTAGTAGCTGAACCTTCCTTTGTGAATCTTATGTCAGACTCATGTCTTTGTTGTAAATACCTTAGATTTAAAAAGTCCCATGCAGTTGATAGCATATCTGGCAGGCCCTATTGATTTGAGTTCAGTGGAAGGTTAGGCTAAACAAGTTTGTGACCGAGTTGTGGTTACATAAACATACCATGCTCAACTGAAGATTCATCTATTTGCACGGTATACTGTAACGTTTATATCCAAAATTCTGTTTCAGAAAGCGTACCATGCTGCAGTCCTAGGATGGAAAAATACGAAAATGTTCTGAGGCCCCCCAACTGTTTTACATACGACACCACCGTCTCTCCACACTCAGCATACTGATGGTGCCTTTCTGTAGATGCCCTCCCTCCCCACTGACGAATTCTTAAAAAAGGCCTTGGCAAAAATTACCTCGACAGCCAAGGCGACGTACTTTCTGGAAGCGTATATTACGATGCTCCCTGCAATTACTCCATAAACAAATTTAATAAAAAAAGTTCAATATTTTACTAAAACTGTCTGTACCAGTGTTGGTAGTACCAATGTGAAAATGCTGTGCTGAGTGGTTATATTACTACCTTAAAAAATAAGCAGAAACAAACTCTTGACGAAGGGCCTTCGCTCGAAACGTCGCGTTTCTGCTTATTTTTTAAGGTAGTAATATAACCACTCAGCACAGCATTTTCAATATTTTACACGTCTGTCAGTTGCAGCACGATGGTATGACGCCCAAGGCACTGCCTCGTTTGCACTTTACTTGCTCACCGTTTTGACAAATGGAACAACGAACATGATGTTCCCCTGAATTGACAGATGTCTAGTACTTCGTCGTAAAACCTCTCAGTCAGAGATTTTAGTTCATCGATATGCACCCAGTTATTTATAATCTTATGAAGCAAGACTACTACTTTACATCCAGGAACTCGTGCCAGTATGTAATAAGCTCTAGTTGTTGGAGCCTTAGTGCATGAGCATATATAGTACTCACTAAAGGCTAGTTTCCACTCAGGAAAATTATCTGTGGATCGGAACGGACAAGAAAATGTTCCTTTGTCTTGTGAACTCTGGGTTGGAACTAATGACTTTAACACAAAGAAAAATTTTCTTGTCCGTTCCGGACACGGATAATTTTCCTGAGTGGAAACTAGCCTTAAGGCTTTTGTGAGAACGGAATATCTGTTGAGAAGCCCAGATTTAAAAGGTAATTTGAAGCACGCCTTTGAACTTAACCTTTTTGTTGTTCCTTACATGCTCCACTGACTGAGGACACATGATTGAGATGCATAGCCTAAATACTGCGAATCAACTAGATATACAGTATAACGATTGTCGCATGTCAAATATTGTAATATTTACAAACGAGTAATGCACCAGTCAATGTAAATCCCCCAACTTGGGACGGGTGGGGATTTTGACTTGAATGGGTAGTAAAAGAGAGCAATTGTCCTTGCCCCCGGGCAAAGGGAGATTATAATCAATGTCCCCGCATTTCCTATCAGGTTATATTGACTGGCTCGCGTCTTTACACAAAGACATGGGCGTACCGGGCGGGGGGGGGGGCGGTAGCCCCCCCCCAGTTTTTTGGGCAGTCGGGCAATATTCGCTAAACAGTCGGGCAATTTTGGTGAATTAAAAAAATAAATGGGGCGGAGGTCGCCAAAACAAATTCCGGAAAAAAATTTTTTGGTACTTGTCGGGCAAAATCCGGAAAAGTCGGGCAAATTTCTTGCCGCCCCCCTAAATTTTTCCTTCCGGTACGCCCATGCACAAAGACAAAACCCGATCACGTGGTTTGTAGATGGCTTCTATAATTCCTTTATCTAATATGCAGCCTGATGTAGATAACATGTACACTTATTAATACGCAGTAGTCGTTATCGCGGTGTAAAGAGTCTTAATTGACACGATTTGACGAATTTTATTGGACAATTATCTGATGAACTATTAATAAATTCAGAATAAAATTTTTAAACTATGTGAAAACTAAAGAGTTAGGCAACGCTCTGACAAAAGTTTTGCAGTGTTTCTTTAATTTAAGCCCAAGTATTTTTATTAATCTATCTGAAAAAGTCAAAACAATACCAGCTAATACCAATTGTATGAGCTAAGGCTGTGCAGGTCATTAATTTCAAATATAACAAAATTTTATTCGAAAATTTTATTCAAACACAAAAATGTGAGTCATTCATCATTTTTGAAACGCGCACCCTTGAACTACAATGAAAGCAGAACCAACATGGTATTTTGCCGTAAATGGGAATCAATCGACATTTTTAGAACTATGTATAACCACAAGCTAAGGCAATCAAGTTCGGATTAGAGCCGCATTATCAATATATCAAAAGTCAATATACATGTATTGCATGCGTAAAGCATCAATTGCTTGTTACAAGGAGTGGGAGTCGAGGGCTTTTAAAAAGCGTCTTTGAAAATACACTCTGAAAGTACGCAAACAGCGAAAGATTAATAAAACCATACATGGTACAAACCAACATTGACTACATTCATGAAAGTAGTGAAATTTGTTCTTGTCACGAAATAAGCCAGGAGTGAAGTTTTTGCTGACGACGCATGCGTCCGGGATTCTGAGTTGAAATATATAGGACTGCGGTTAAGTTGGTTATACAGACGAGCACGCAAGTTTTCTATAACAACAAGTACTACAGCATACTGTCCAACCGCATGCAGTGCTCAGATTAACTTTTCAAATCAGTAATTTTCTTTGACCCATACAGACGAGCAAAATTTGCATACATACTAATTCGTTCTATGACATGCAAGTGCATTTGTTCAAAAGCTCAGTATGCTAGCTATTGAATAACTCTATTTGTAATAGAAAAAACTTGGCAAGGTTGCCTGTACAGACGAACAAATAGAACTTGTCATCTGTAAACGGCTTCAATCTCTAGCTTAATTTCGCAAGCGAAATGGTCATCAACATTCAATCATCTTATACGTATTAATTAATTAATTAATTAATGAAATGATTGTGTTAGTTATGTTGGTTGGGGTAAATATACGCAAACAACTTTAACAAATAATTTACAATTACATGTATAATTGGAAAGCAGCTTATATTGCTTGATCCCTTTTTGAAGGCCCATTAATTGAAGAATTACTTATAATGTCCACAATAACTTCCTTGGAAGAGTAAAGAAACTAGGTAGGCTATTATGCAAGTGGTGTTCGAAAACATCTATACGTATATACGATTAATGCATGTCGGAGCAGTGTATTGGTAAAAGTTATTTTTTCCTTTTATACCAACAGAACTTATCAAGTAA